CTGGGTCCACTCACTCAACCTATCTTCTTTCGTGAAACATGGTCTTTAAGAGTCCGATTTATTCAGGTTCAGTGGGGTAAAATTCTTGTCCGTGGCACAAATTGCTTCATGCATGACCGTCGTTTTCTGAAGGAAGTATTTGCGATGATTGTTGATTTGCTTCGCACACAACTACTCAAAATCAAGAGGACCTCTACCTCCTTCGTTCCGATGTAAGTATAGTCTTACCACTGAACGGTTGGGATGGTGCATTCGATACTTGGTAAGAGTGGCCCTGACTTTTATTAAGCCCCTGCAGTGCAGTTGCTGTCCAGTGAAGAACACCAAATCAATAGACAGCGACAGATCTGCCCAAGTATTTATAGCTGATATGAGGTTCTTTCCATTTAAAAGACTTTTACAGAATTTTGAGACGCTTTGAACAACTTTATTTTTAATATCACACCTCATCTTTGCTTCATTTGTGCTCAAAAAATGGTGCAGGTCTAAAAATATATATATATATATATATACACACACTGGGGGTCGCAGCTTGGGTGAGACAACAGCTCACCCCGCCCGACCTCAGAGCAAATGCCAGCGCATGGACTAAGGAGTTAAATATCTCCATTATACATGCTTGGCTACCAGACTTGATGCGGACATGGAGGGATACAGGATCCGATTTCACGAAGAATGGTTAAAGCTGCATCCGAACATACCGGTATCCGACCAAACCAGCAGCGCACCATCATTTTAAGGAACTTTCTCTCAGCTGCAGGGATTAGAGAGAATGTAAGAGCACCCTTGGGTATTGAGAATAGGATGAAGGAAGAAATAATGAAGACTCACAAGTTCTTCAGAAATGGTCTGTGGAGACGAATTCTGATGAATCTAGCCTCCCAGCACCTGAGCATTTCTCTTGGACAGCGCATTATGAAGCCTTGAAGACATGCTATCATGGTATTCCATTATCCTCCAGACCATGGATCCCACGAGTGGGATATGACCCACGTACAAATGCGGAGAGGAAGCTGTCAATAACTTGTTGAAGGTGGATGTAGAACAATCGACGGCGCTTAGGGAAGTGCTAAGCTATATGTCTTGTGCAGCCTTTGCTGTTGTACAGGGTCTTGGTAAACCTGTAAAGAATAAATTGAAAACATCGAAAGACACAGTACAGTCCGTTAAGTTCACCAAGACTCCGTTGTTGAGGCGTATTGAATGCAAAATTGAAAGCTTCCAGAAGGACATAGGCACTCTGAAAGCCTTCTTAAAAGCTTCTGAGAATGCAACTAGAAAGGTCTACAACGCAGTGATGGCGATTGGACGAAAGATGAGAATTCGAAGAATCCAGACGAATTACGAGGAGAGGCTCCAAGACCGACTTGAGTATCTGAAACAGCGCGTCGCAGCCCTTGGCTGCCGTGTTAGAAGAATCATAAAGCAATGAAATAAAGACAACAGAATGCTTCGAACAGACGAAATTTTTCAGGCAACTCTGTGATCAAAGAAAGTTGCCTGAAACAGTTCTTAAAAGCTCCGAGATGGAATATTGGAATAATATATGGAGCATCCCCAAGACGCATGATGACAGAGCTTACTGGTTAGCAGAAGAGAAAGGGAAGTGTTGTGATACACCTCAGATGTGCTCGTCTAATCAGAGATATATATCTTCAATTTCAGTCTGAAGATGCAGAATTGGAAAGCGGCGGATACTGATGTGATTTTGGTGGAAGTATTTCCCGTTGACTCATGCGGTTTTGCCAGGTGGTTTTTAAGTTGCATTCAATGATCCAACTATCATTCCGGCGTCTTTTAACTGAAGGAGTTACATTTATGATAAGCAAGTCTAGCGATCCTAAGACTCCGAGTAACTATTGACCTATCCCATTTATCCTCACAGTACATACGATTTTTACATCTGTGCTAGCAAGTATGCTGAATACCCATCTAATGGCCAATAATCTTCTGCACCAGAGCAAAATGGGTGCAGAAAGGGTGCTCAAGAATTATTGATAGTAGACAGTATTGTAGTCAATCAAGTTAAAAAAAGACATCGCAATTCTGTAGGATGGATCGATTATACCAAGGTTTTCTGATGATTATCTTTTCTTCGAACTATCCCATTCGTGGCTTTTGTATGTACTTCGCCTCTACAAATTAAATGCCCAGTATGTGAACTTAATCCAACCCTGCATGGCAACTTGGCGTACAAAGATAAAAGTCTCATTCGCTGGAGGCATCTATACCACCAAGCAACTGAGGATCAAACAAGGAATGTTTCAGGGAGATAGTCTTAGTCCATTATGGTTCTCGCTAGCTCTAAACTCTCTCAGCAAAATGTTAAGAGTTTCAGAGATGGGATATGAAATCACCAAAAATCCCCATATCCTCATTAATCATCAGTTCTACATGGACGGTCTCAAGTTGTACACTAGAGATACGAATCAACTTTCCGTTGCTTGAACTGGTTACGTCCTTTAGCGACTCTATTTGTATGAAGTTTGGCATTGATAAATGCGCTGTAGTGCACGTGAAAACGGGGAAAATCCTTGATCCTGACAAACTCATCCTGATGGGTGGCACAAATACCCAAAGAACGTGGGCAAGAGGATATATATATATATATATATTATATAATATATATATATATATATATATATATATATATATTATAATATATATATATACTCAGGACAGGGGAGATCCCGTGGCGTATTCTACAAAAACCCCGGACACTACAAGGGTATTATATTATTATTATTATATTATTATATTATTATTATTATATATATATTATTATTATATCCCATCATCATCAGAAAACCGTGTCACAGAACATTCCAATTATCAAGTGAACAAAGCGACGGAACTACTTGTCGCTTTCCTCTTCTAGAAGCACCTATGGTGGACATTTTGCCCACGGAGGGAGCACCTTTAACATTAACTCAAGATTAAAAGTTATCATTAAGGAGCAGGCCCATGAACTGCAGAATCTCACGTTTCACAGACAAAAATGCCTCATTTTTACAGAAATATTGTGTTGGGCTTTCAACGCTTACTGAAGGCGAAAATTGCCTAACCTGAAGTAGCTGCTGATCAGTTTTCGTTGACCTTTTTTATTTTATTTTACAGCTTATATTGTATGTTTCTATTAGAGTGATAGTTGGTTACTTCATGCTTGGACTATCGCCCGTTGAGGGCAGGGTTGCGAGATGGAGCGGAATTCCTCTTTTGGGGCTGGAAAACGGCTCTCTGTCGCGGTACAAAAATTGATTTGTAAAATACTGCCCAATAAGCGGATGTGCATCAAAATATGTGCGGTTTTCGGAGGGTTTTCAGATTACGATGAAATTTTCAAAACAACCACAACTACATTGTCAGTGAGTTAATATTTTTTTACCTTTTTACTTTATGCATAATTTTTTATCAATCATTGTTTTGCGTTCAAATTTACTTTGAGAAGTGAGTAATATTAGTTTTTAGACCTAGTTTAGGGTGTGTTCTGAAAACGCCATTGTCGTGCGTATAATATAATACGGAGTTTGTGCCACTTCGAACGTTAAAGCACTATCGATCTTCTGCTCATGCGCAGTTCATGTTTCGCACCATTCTAGAGCATCTGCGCATGTACAGAAGGTTAATAGTGCTGACGCTATGGCGTGCAAAAACTCCATATTATCACATTGCAAAACATGCTGTTAATTTTAGAAAACACGATTAAACATTTGTCATCTTTTGGAAGTACAGTGCCACTGCCAGTATTTTCCGTTTAGTCACAGATATTAATAAAGCATATGTAAGAATTTCTGTGGTAATCTTTTTAAGGGACTAAGGAGAGTGAAAATAAGAAAGTGGGAAAAGTATTTAAAACATTTCAATTAAAAAAGGAACGAAAGATGATTTTAAATGTAAATCAATACTGATTGACTCTGACCTTGTTCTCTACGAAATAGTCATAACTAATTTTTAAGTATTAAGATATAAATTATTATTTCAGAAAGTATAATGTTTTACTGTTAATAATTACAATTTTCACAAACAAAATACTAAAACTAATCGAGCATTTCATAGAGTCACTATCTCAAAAAAACTTCAAATTCATATTATTTTATTGCAAATTCAAATTTTCTTCTTGGAAGTTGAATTTTTCTTATCGGGCAGATTTACACCCATCTAACGATGGACATTTGCACGAAGCATCTGGCAACCCTGTTTGGGATGCGCGTCATTCGCAGCACTGTGCAATATTTCTGTTTCTTTCATATCTTGCATTGTTATATGCCTCTTCTTTCAGGTCTCTGTCCTCTGCTCTTTTCGAAATTGATTGGGCGAAATGGAAAAGGCAGACCTTCAATCGCATTGCCAATGTTCTCGTGTCTGCCAAAACAAAGTCAGTAGATATTATTTCAGGCTTCATTTGATACCCAAACATTTTAGCTGATAACGTTTTAGCTAGTGGACATTAAATTGGTAGAGCTTTTAGTTCTTATAACATTTTTTTATATAACTTAAGTCATTTTTGATGGTACACCTTTTAGCTGTAGACCTTTAATAAGTAGGTAGATTTTATATATCTGTAGACCACAATTTTATTAGACATTTTTACGTCAACCTACTAACCTTGAACCCGTAAAGTAGTTATAGATGTTCTATAATGTTTAGGAAAATTGGTTTACTTTAGAACATCTTCGATACTTTCATTGGAATTATTGTTTTCTGTTTTACTTATAATGTTCATTTATTACTTTTAATTTCACTCTTTTAAATGCCATTTATTCTACAATAATAAATACGATAATATTGTTTTAAGTTTTTTGATTAAATGCTTATTTTAAATATTATTTAAGATTTATTGAACATTCAAAGGATTTAAAAGTTTTTTAAAGATATTCCGACAATTTATCCATATTTGTTCAACGTGGATGGAGATGTAATATAGTTCAAATGCCTTGTCGAAAGGTTCTACGTTTATGCGTTTAAAACTCTCTGGTTCAAAAGTTTTGCATCATTGATGTTACACACTCCGTAGAGTCCCTCTATATCCAGGGACTCAAACACTCCTACTTGAACACACTCTTGCGATCAAAATCTTGAACTTCTTCGTTCGTAAATAACTACGAAAGTGTATCTACTTCGTGTCTCTTCCACGTCTTGTGACGTTGAACGTTCGTGTCCGTGTTTAACCTGCGGTCTCTTGGCACGTTTTTCTCGTTTCTCTCTTCCATTATCACTTCTGGTTGAGCTGGTGGCGTATGGTTATTGCCACTGTTTTAGCTATCCTTTCTTTATTTTCCAAGTCGATGGCGGCTGCAAGAGAACGTACCTTTCTTATGATAAAGCCTGATGGCGTTCAACGAGGACTTGTTGGTAAAATTATTAAAAGATTTGAACAGAAAGGTTTTAAACTAGTTGCAATGAAGTTCATGTGGGTAAGTGTTGTCGGCGTGCTTGTACAAACTTTCGGTAAATATTTAAAAGAAGTATTTAACTTATATTTTATTTTGCCTTTGTAGGCTTCTGAGGATCTTCTAAAGAAACATTACGCTGATTTGTCTGCAAGGCCTTTTTTCCCAGGTCTCGTTAAGTACATGAATTCTGGTCCCGTTGTGCCAATGGTAAGTATAAGGTTGTTTCGTTCTGACATGAGAATTGTAAAACTGCCCGTTTCTTATTGTTTACCGTTTATAGGTGTGGGAAGGTCTCAACGTGGTTAAGACCGGACGAGTAATGCTTGGCGCAACTGACCCCAAAGATTCCGCTCCCGGTTCTATTAGAGGAGATTTGTCCATCCAGGTCGGCCGGTAGGTGTAAAAATAAAACTTCTGAATTCTCTGAACCGCTTCAAACATTGGAAGGTGTGTTTGATGTATTTAATATGCAATTCAACTTTTACCTTATATAAGATTGTTTTCTTTTTCTAGGAATATTATTCATGGATCAGATTCTGTGGAGTCTGCCCAAAAGGAAATTGCCTTATGGTTTGACAGCAAGGAAGTAGTTGCATGGAAGCCTGACACAGAAGCATGGGTATATGAAGATTGAGCAGAGTGGCTGGGCCATTCCAAGTGTCATTTATGAACTGCTCGAATTGTGATATATGAAATGCATTTGTTTCTGCCGCTAATAACAGACTGAATAAAAGTTGTCACTTAAAATTACTTTTCTTTAAGGATCACTTTAAATATCCTCATCCAAGTTCCAGAAAAGTTTCAATTCAGTATATTGCCTCCATGTTCCTTCTAAATAATGTCCTTATGCTTAGAATAGCGCTTCAAAATAATGCAACTGCAAGGTGTTGAGTATTAAATAAAATTAAGTAATTTCATGAGAAAATAAGTAACTGGACAAATTACTGAAGATCAATAGATGAAGTTTTATATAGTTCATAATGGAAATGAATGAAGTTTGAGATTGGGTGGGGTTAGTCATTCAATTGTATAAATACAAGCTGTGTCAGATCCTATTATATGTTCAGAGATTAATTTGTTATAAAATGTGGCAAAGTTCTTTGAGGGATGCTGAAGCAGTTACCAATTGAATTTATGCTCATTTGTGAGTAAATGTTGAACTCTGATGGATACTAAGTAAATGGGAGGAAAATCAGTGTTTATAGTAGATGGTGCAATAGAAACCGCAAATTCTTGTTTGCTCATTCGGAAATGGCTTAATTTGCACAGAATGTGTACTGTATGAGCCAGATAAAATCTACTGAAACTTATCTTAAAAAGATTTGCAATTTTTTTTTACCAGCTCTTGTACATTAACTAAAGCTTTTAGTTTTCACATCTGTACTGTGTTCATCCCTTCTAGCCACACCCCACTTACCTCAACTTTTCCAAACCTTTGCTTCCGCAACACATCAGCTTTCTCAGACAAACTCCCAATAAGATGCCCCTTGACATTTAGCTATTACTGTATGCAAAACAATGAAGTCAAAATTCATCAGAATATGGTCTGTAAAAACTGAAAGTGAGATTCTTTTATCCATTCACCCTTGTTTTACAGCATGGCACAAATCTGTTCAAGTGCACTCAGTAAGGAACAATTCTTTCTTTTATGTATATCCAGCTCCCATCTGGAACAGCCAATGCAGCACAAATCCAAACCCTAGTTCACGAAAATATGATAGAACATGCTTGTACTGAACACTTATTGTCATTCAACTACGTGCCAGTTTACCTTGATAGACACTAGTTTATAAAAAGGATTTGAAAAAGAAATACAGAATCACATTTTATAAACTTTTCTTTTTCTTTTCTATAACCATAGTTTGTTGAGTGAAATTTCTGGGACATGAATTTTTTCACAACTTAAGGCTGTAATGTTTGTAAGAGAAAATGTTTTTAAATGTAAATAACAAGTTACTGTCATTTAAGTAAATGATGCAATTACGCTTTTCATTTTACTTTGAAAAATATTAGTGTCATCAGCAAAATGCATGTTTTTATTATTTTCCAGTATTGATGGAAAGTCAACCACAAACTTTAGAAATAAACCGAGTTTCAGTGTGGGTCCTTGCAGGACCTTTGGGTCATGGTTATTGGTTTAGAGTGGTGTATTTTCCTGTCTGTTTGGTTATTGTTTGCTTTCAGTCTGATTGGTTTGATTTAATTCAGGGCAATTCCTTGAAATTGGTAAAATTTTATTTTTGCTAGAACAGAATTCTATATTGTATGTATTCTATAAGGTTTTTTTTATAATTACATGATTTTATTCCTGAAAGGAAATAAGGCATTTTTGGTGATTTTCTCAGAATCTATATTGTGTTAATGATAATCTTCATGTTTCAGATAACTTTCCAACCTCTCATAGAAATATTTCTAATATTTTTGAAAATCCTGATTGTTATGATATTGGGCTGTGATATACAAAAATGACATCTTGGTTTTCACCTTCTTTGTGGATAGATTTAATGTCTGCAGTTTCAAATGTTTGTGAAGGGGCCATGTGTTAGTAAATGAATGTGTTTCCTTTTATCTTATTTGAGTGGTGTACATACCCGAGATATTTTAAAAGAGAGGCTGTGTTTGGTTTATTTTTTTTTTTTGCAGACTGCCAGTTCTTTTTGACAAGTATTTGTTGTATATACTGGTAATGTCTAGGAATTTCGAATCATATATGTGCATAGATTAGTTCAATATTTTTGGTTGTTTCTCAGTTGCTGATGTGATCTTCTTAAGTATGGTTCTCATAGCATTTGTTTGATTTGTAGAGATTTTTATTTATGTATCAACAGATATTTATTTGGCTTTTTTTTTTTTTTTTATGTATGGCTGAGTATCATTTGTAGTAGTTTGCTATTTGGTTACAGCAAAAAAGTTGTTTTGTGAGGATATGAAACTGTCTTTTACACACAGGAAATTTTCATACCATTTGTTATTCAGGTTTTTCAACTTTGTGATGTTTGTTTTGTGGTATTGTGGGGGATGTGAGGTATTGCAAAAGAGTTTTATTGAATTAAAGAAAGAGTTAAACATTAAATTGGTGTCAGAAATATTGTATATCACTGACAGTTATTCATTAATTAAGAGTGAAATAAGCTTCCTTAATTCTTTTAGGGTGTATTTCTTAGATTCCTTTAATGTATTGTTTTTAATGAGGAGTATTTGTTTTGAGGGTGAGCTTTATGTGATATGATCAGTAAGCCCTATATCACAGGTAGGTTGTTAAATGTGTTTTGTTTTGTCTACGAGGAATTAGTCAATTGTTGTTTGGTTGTTTTGGGACTGTCTAGTTGGTGTATCTATTGTTGGGACAAGGTTACAGGAGTTCATTAGTTTGATTTTCATACGTGATGCAGGCTTTCAGTAGGAAGTTCATGATAATATCACCTCAGAATATAATAGAGGAATGTGCATGGTTTGACAGTTTATACAAAATTTTTGTAAGGATATTTAAAGATTTCTATCTGGTTGCTTTGGAATTTCTACTATTGAGCATCATTTCTCTGAGTCACATGTTACCTGTTTGTACTTGGCTGTTGGGTTAGTTTATGAGCAGTAGGTCATGGTTCAAGAGGACCTTGAGAGAGGGTTTAAGAATGAACAGTTTACTGCTACAGCATAGGTGGGACTGGTAGTCATGGCATCAGGGGATAGGGTGGAAGTGGAGAGAGAAGGAGAAAGGGCTGGTGTGGAGGGACTCTCTGAAGATTAAAATGGCTAACTTCATCCTAGTGCGTGTTTACCAGCTTGTCTTGTGTAGGGTTGCCATAAGGATATCAATTGAATTCAAGACATCCGAAAAATAATTCAGAGCAAATTGTTTACTTTTATATTTTCTTGTTATATGATTCCTTGATATACTATTTAGTACATAGTATATCAAGTAAATTATATAACAAGGAAATAGTGTATCAAGTAAATAGTAGATCAAGATGAATTACATTGCACACTTTCAAGAATATCAGGATGACCACTCTTTTTCTAGAACGAATTTCAGTGCCTTTTTAAGGTTATTCAGGTCACTTCCTTATTTTTCTATGCCAAAATTTGTAACCTATTTTAAGGTGTTTAAATAAAATATTATATAAAACATGACTTCGGTTGACATTAAAATACTGTTATTGACTGAACCCTTTTCCCCAGTGCATTCCAGATTCCTTCGCACTAGCACATTGTGTCAGAGACAGATGCACTTCAATTCAAACACACAGTACCTTTCTTTATCCTATCCTCAGATTGTACCATAAAAAGACAAAAATTACAATATTTGCATATTGCATAGCAATAGCAAACCTGCTTGTGTTCTCTAAGGTAGTTCACATAGTCTCAAAATGCAGAGTTTTTTTTAAGACTGTTTGGAATTATAACAGAATATATGAAATGTGGGTTAGGAAATAATCAGAGTATATAAATTCAGGCCGTTTGACAAGAACAAGAAAATTCTGGCAGCACAGTGTAACACAAGTCACTGTTCAGGTTATGTCCTACTTTTTCAAGATGAATGGCAATCACACGAGGGGAATCAAACAAAATAAAGTACTTGTGGAATGTTATTAAGTAAACAATATTTATAAATTAAACTAGGGGCAAAAACTGAAATAAATGAATATCAGCCCTTGAAAAAGTTGCCAATTTCAATAAACATTTATCAAATATTGCAATAAAGCTACACAAAAGGAATAAGGGAAACTATTCTGACTCAACTAACAATATCTAACATAAAATTTCAATTTTTCAGCATGTTTGTTTATGAAACTACACAAGATGAAATTCTCCAAGTAATATATCAGCTATAAAATAAATCTTCATCAGGAATTTTTGCTTCCGGGCAGTAATGTAACTTCACTCACCCAAGAGATCATACTGACTCCTCATTCATGATTGTAATTGTATATGTGACTCAATAAAATTCCAATTCACAAACTGAAAACACTTACAATAATAATAATAATATGTATTTGTCAATGAGAGTTGTTTCAAACAATGTATGGCAAGCCAATTTGCAACATTTGCAAATTTTTTCCCCCTAAAGATCAAATTTCTTTATTTTTAAGTATGATAAAACACAGAAGACTTTTCTCAAAGTAATAATAAAAGAATTAGGAAGTTTTATAGTTCAATTGATTGAGGCAAGATGTTCAATTGCCCTTCCTGGCAAAACAACTATTGTCAGGATAACACACATAAACAGGAACTTATAATGGTGGCAAAATTCTTTTCTAAATTGGCCATCCATATTCACTTCAAATTACAAAGAATACAAAAATTACAGCTAAGGCTAAATATGAGTTACAAGTGCTTACAGTTGATCCTAGAATGCATGCCTATAGAGAAAAGGGCTAAAAAATGTAGAGAGAATGGGTGGAAATAGTCTTCCAAAGGCAGCTTTGTGTTACGTACTATAAATTTGCTTTTAAAATATTGTTTTTCATAGCACTTAATTTGTGCAATGAAAGCCAACATTTGATTTGCCATTAAGAAAGTTGTATATTGCTGAAAGTTGTATAAAGCTGAATATTTTTGCATGTGTCTTTAGTTTTCAAAACTGAATCAGTAAAAAAAAATTCTGAAAACTAATTTTATTTGCGAGTTGATCTTCATATTCTTGCAAATACCATTATTTTAGACAATATATAAAATTGTAGAAAACATTTCAAATTATTTATACATGAATTTCTTCATAAACAAAAACGAACATAAAGCTTTCATCTTCATTAACTGAAGGCCTGGTGTGTTCCTGTTGTCTCCATCTCTTCTTTTCACCCTTCCTCATGCTTTTCTTCCTCTACATTGAAACTTCAGCTCTAATTGTGGATACTGGCTTTCATTTTTCCTTGTGTTTTCTTTGATATCTCTTTATATCTTCATGTATGTTATTTTCATTCAATCTTTTCTGATTTCATTTTGATATCTGTATAGTTTTGTTACTCCATCCAGATATCAGTATTCTCACCTGAGCTGCTTCTAATTTTTTTTGATCTCGTAAGTTCTCATGATCTAGGTTTCTGATTCGTAGATCAGGGGTGGATCTAGAGACAAATTTTAGGAAGGGAAATTTGTAATGTTTTGGTCAAGGGCATCATATTACAGATTTTGTAAAATGCCATAGGCTACACTAGCACACACTGCTATACGAGTTTACTCATTTTAATTATTATCTTAAAATATTTTTGCTTGAAATTTTCGTGACAAGTTAAAATTAACAGTTACTGAAAAATTTTCCCTATCTATGGATCCATGCCATATTAATTATTGTTATTCTGTATATTTTCTGCTTTGTCTCTATTTTCATAACCTTTCCCAAGAATTTTTTTAAATGTCTTTTTTATTGTTGAATGTTTGGATTTAGTTTTCCAAATCTTGTTCTGTGGTCCAATTATCTTTCCCAGGTAATTAAATTTCTTTACTTGTCCAATTATTTTTCCATTGATTATTATCTTTCCCCTTTTTAATTCTTTACCTCCAAAAAACATATTTTTATTTAAATCATATTTTCCTTTCCGCAGGTCATTTCTGCTTCTCTCAGTATTGCCTGACCAAAAAAATATTTAATTAGTAGAAATAGGAATACAGGGCAGATTAACAACAAAAGATCTGCAAAAATCTTTGAAAGAAGTGAATAAAAGTACAAACATTGCTCTAGAGGAAAGTTAAAGAAGTTTTGGGGTACTTTATTAAGCACAATTAATTGTAAAGAATATTCTTCTGAAAAAAGTATTTAAATACGAAAATCTAAAAAGAAAATTTCAGCATAAAAGGGGCTGTGTGATTTTGAAACAAGGAGACACTAATAATGATTCCAGAAAAAAGAAAAAAGTGCTTGCAGCAACCAGAAAAATCCTTTAGGTACATCAAATATTGAGAAAACTCATATTCTGAGGGACAAGTTGTCATTAATTATCACTAGAATAATTAGTTCATTACAGGGCCTAAAATATTTAATTCCCACAATTTCAAAGTTTGTTTTCAATAACTTAATATTTATAAAAGTGCTTCACTTTCTATTAAATACCTTTGCCGTTCATGATACAATATAATTGAATACATTTTTCTTAATAAATTATGAAGTTCCTCAATATACTGTCAGTATTTTTATTTATAACATGATATGATTATGACCCAATATGAATTTTTTTATGAAATCTTTGAATCTGTAGTTGTATTCTGAAAATATATGACTTAGAAATATTGTTTCTGTACAAGGCAGAGGCAGAAATATTGTTAGTATATATGAATATACTAAAGACATAAGTTATCATTGATGTTAATATACTAAATAGCGTTGATTTTCTTGTGCAATATAAGGGCCTTAAAATGTACAGTTTTTTAAATTTGAAATATTAAGTAGAAAAACGCTTTGTCATCCACTCACTAATATCATATAATTTTTTATGTTGAAAGGTGTGTAATCAAAAAACAATTTCTCTCAACAGTCACAATAAAATAAAAAGCCTTGTAATTAGGTAATTTAAAAACTATTTGTTTTCACAGCAGAGCCTGAAGTTATCTGTACGAAATAAAACATCGACAGGTTCTATTTTTTTGAGAGTAGCAATAAATTTGTCTATCTTCAAGATGAAAATTCGGGTTTATCTTTGGAATAACAGAAATTGCTTCCGTTGTATGAAAATCGTGTTGAACATCAAAGTATGACAATAGAACAAAACAACCATGCTCATCGCCGGTATTATACCCGTGATATAGTCGTCTTACTATACATTACTATAAAACTGGTTTTTGTACTGTATAATACTGCAATGCTTGTTCTGTGGTGTCTGAATGTAAATATCTAGTTACATCATAGTCAATAACATAGATGGAGAAGCACATGAAGGTCATGCCAACGCGATCAATATTCTGCAAAACTACAGCAATTGTCTGTTTGAGCCCTACCTCTGTAATAATAGCTTTCAAAGCGTATTTCTATAAAGAGTAACCGTATAAACACAGTATAACAGTCATACTATGGTATAAATATGACTTTATTACAAGCAAATTGGCGTAACGCCTTCCAAGACCAAATACTATTAGGCGCGTGGCGGCAACATGATATTTCTAGAAGGGTTCGTAAAACGCGGGCTAGAATAGCTGTCCTTAAGTGAGGAAATGATGTTAAACCTAAAATATCACAGAATGGGGTAGCAGTAACAAAGACCTAATTCGTCCTTTTAAGCATTTGTATAACGTGATCTACAATACAAATCAGTATCTACATATTGCACTGGCGGTATGTCATGTATGAAAAGAATGTGATAAAATGAAGTTTATTAAAATAATTATTAAATATATTATTAAAATAAATACATAGTCTCTGAAATAGAATCGGGATGAAACAAATGCAACTATTTCCTTCTGCAATGTTCTGCCTGTGAGCGTGCACGTGTTGTACTTGGAAGTTTATGAATGACACAGCATTTACAAATGCCACATTGTCATGGCTTATATGTGGATATTTTGTAAATGAAATAATGTATTAAACATAATTTCTCCTTACAGATCAAGTGCTATTACACAGTAGTTGAAAGAATTCATTGTATACCCGGCGTCATAGTTGCCTGGAAATTATAATCATTACAAGGAAACATTTTATCATTTTTTTTATTCGGCTTTAGTTATATATAATGTATATTACTATTTTCCCCATTTTAAACGTATTGGCACTAGTAGCATTAAATTAGCTCCAAATTAGGAAACACTGAGTTATATTATCGGATCACAAACTAAATTAAACATTTTCCCACACCTAAAATTGAAACAAATGTTTCAGTTGAGGTAAAAGAGAAATGTGTTATTTTTTGAAATTTTATATGAATATGCCGGTACTGCCCATTTGACAACATAGCAAACAGCTGTTTTCCCCCCTTCTGCGATCGAATGTTTCTCTCGAAGGTTCCAGAACCTTCTAGAAGCATCAACCAGAGCGAGAGAGCCGGAACACTACAAAGTCATATTACGTACGCAAAGTGTAATTTCAAATTAAGATTAAACCAGTAAACATTGATGAACCAAATATACACTTATTATTTGTGAATTTGAATTTTAACTTTCTTTTAATTCAAATTAATTTCAATTTTGAATATCTGTTTCCATGAACTCCATTTCTCATTTGATTGATCATTCTGGAATCTTCGAGAAGTTTCCTCCACCGGATGCATTGAGCCTAGCGCCAGCGAAAAGTTCTGGAAGCGCGCCATCGAGCTTATAAAACGAACGGTGCCGGGAAGGCTGCGTCATACTTGCGTTTCAGCGTTCGTGCGAGGTGGTGTACAGAGGTGTTGAGTCTATTTTGTGCGCTTGTTAGCTGAATTGTGGGCTTGCTTTTAGTTTATTGAAGGTATGTATGAAATATCTGATATCTATAAACTTTGTAAATTATCTAATGAATTCAGAAGCGGTGTTCAGTTGTTTTGAAGTCTATGGTAACGAGTAGTTTACGTCGTTGCATGTGGTTTGTCGTATTGTAAGCGGAAACGCGTTTTAAGAATTTGACTAAGCTCATATTTTCCCTTTTTTAAGATGCCGGAGGACGTCGAAATGCAGGAAGCCGGCGAGGTTGAAACCTTCGCCTTCCAAGCTGAGATTGCTCAGCTTATGTCCTTGATCATCAACACGTTTTACTCGAATAAGGAAATTTTCCTTCGTGAGTTGATTTCAAATTCATCTGATGTAAGTATTCATTTTCTTTTTTTTAACAAGTTAATTTTTTTTGATATACTCTTAATCTGATCCGTCTGATTTGTTATAGGCTTTGGATAAAATCCGCTATGAATCACTCACTGATCCATCAAAATTGGAAAGTGGCAAGGAGTTGTACATCAAAATCGTGCCCAACAAGAATGATCGCACCCTCACTATTATTGATACGTAAGTATAGAATTTTGTGATAAAGTAGGAGTAACCTTAATTATTAGTTTGTGCCCTTTATAATTGTAGTGCTGAAAGTGTATAATTCCATGTATTTCGAGACTCGTTATCATATGAAGGCCTTTATTTTTAACACAAATTTAATTTGTCAGAATTAAAACTTCTGAAATTCGACAAAACGAGTCTTGGATTAACGTTCATTTCAAATTTTGGTATACTTGGGATTTGTGCAGAATCTTTCAAAAAACCTGCAGGGGAGGGAGTGAGAAATTTTCCCGGATCAAACTATTGGAGAGTTGAATTAAAATGCAACTGTTCAACAAAGCTTCCAATAGTTTTTAGTCTGTTTCTGCTTACCCATGTTTGATTAGCATTGTAGCTGATACACCATGCAAAACAGATCCAAAGTTTGAAGTGCTTTGGGACATTAGAAATATGATAAGGGGTCATAGGTGACTTGCATGTGAACTAGTATCAGTAGTGTCGGGAACAAAATGGGGTATCTATAAGCTGGAATCGTATTACAGTTAAGTGTTCTTTAGTTGAAAGTGGAGAATTTATCCACTGATTTATCTGGTGTTAGAATTTTAAATTTATTCAATTTTTTTATATTAAGTTAATTTTTTGTGATCAAAGAAATGTGACTAAATGTTAATATGTATTTGTATATATCAAGAATCTTCTTTACTTTCATTGATTAGTGAAGTGTTTTAACTGTCCAGTCGTCCTGAACCTGTTTAGAAACAATGGTTCCTGGTACCCTTGTCTCTTGGAAACAATAGGTGTTGGATGTCATGAAAGTCCAAATGCTAATTATAAAAAGCTGCTTACACTAGCTGATAGCACTTACACATATTCCTTGGTGTTTGTAAAATTTGAGTATTAAACAGTTTTCAGAATTAGTTCTGGTCTGTTTACTTGAAGTGCCCTGATACTTGTTTCATGATTTTTTTTCCCCTCCATAATGCATAGTAATTAAATCTGAGGTTTATAAATCCTTGGATTCTTTTCTTGGAGAGGAATTCATTCTGAATAATGTATCTGGTGTTTCCCATCCCAGCCTTGGGCATTAAATTGGTATAGTAGTTGTGGCAGCAAAGTAATTTTGGTAGTTAGAAGTGGTGAATTTGCTAATTAGAAATAGTTTAAATGAGTGAATGGCAACATTGTAGTAGGCACTAGCTAAGTGCTGGCCACATAAGGCAATGAGAGATGCCTTGTATTTGTGAACAGTATTTTGACATGTGCTTTGGATATTGTTACAGAGTATTAACATTTATATAGAAGCTTTGTTTTGTAAACCTCTAATTTATAACTTCAGGCATGTCATAAATGTTCACATGCAAATTGAGGGAGCAATATTGATACAAATAATTTCTTTGTTCACAATTCATTGTTTTCCTAAATGTCACTGGTGGTTAAATTCCTGATTATATGAAATATGTTGGTACTTGCAAGGGCAGTTTCTTAGTATAAAGAAGTATTGATTTTATATATAATTGCAGAGATCATGTTTTTTTTTTCTTTTTTGCAGGGGCATTGGTATGACAAAGGCTGATCTTGTTAACAACTTGGGTACCATTGCTAAGTCTGGCACTAAGGCATTCATGGAAGCATTGCAGGCCGGTGCAGACATTTCAATGATTGGCCAATTTGGTGTTGGTTTCTACTCTGCTTACTTGGTTGCAGATAAAGTCACTGTAACTTCCAAGCACAATGATGATGAACAGTATTTGTGGGAATCCTCTGCTGGTGGATCATTCACAATTCGCCCAGATCACTCTGAGCCTCTTGGCCGAGGAACAAAGATAGTACTTCACATTAAGGAAGATCAAACTGAATTTTTGGAAGAGAGGAAAATCAAGGAAATTGTAAAGAAGCATTCTCAGTTCATTGGGTATCCAATTAAGTTGCTGGTGGAGAAGGAGCGTGACAAGGAATTAAGTGATGATGAAGCTGAAGAAGAGAAGGAAAAGAAGGAAGGTGAAGAGGAGGAATCTAAGCCAGAGGATGAATCAAAGCCAAAGATCGAGGATGTAGGAGAAGATGAGGATGATGAAGAAAAGGACAAGGATAAGAAGAAAAAGAAGCGAACTGTTAAGGAAAAATACACTGAAGATGAGGAACTCAACAAAACAAAGCCTATCTGGACCCGCAATCCTGACGACATCAAACAAGATGAATATGGTGAATTCTACAAGTCCCTTACTAATGATTGGGAAGATCATTTGGCTGTAAAACACTTCTCTGTTGAAGGTCAGCTGGAATTCAGAGCTTTGCTATTTGTCCCCCGCAGAGCTCCATTTGATCTCTTCGAGAATAAGAAGAGGAAGAACAACATTAAGCTGTATGTGCGCAGAGTGTTCATCATGGACAACTGTGAAGACCTCATCCCTGAATATCTTAATTTCATCAAAGGTGTTGTGGATAGTGAAGACTTGCCTCTGAACATTTCAAGAGAAATGTTGCAGCAAAACAAGATCCTTAAAGTTATTCGTAAAAATTTAGTTAAAAAGTGCTTAGAGCTGTTTGAAGAACTCACAGAAGATGGTGACAACTACAAGAAATTCTATGAGCAGTTCAGTAAGAATCTCAAACTTGGTATTCATGAAGATAGCACCAACCGCAAAAAACTTTCAGAACTGCTAAGATACAACACTTCTGCATCTGGTGATGAAGCTTGCTCTCTTAAAGATTACGTTGGACGCATGAAGGAGAATCAAAAACACATCTACTACATCACTGGGGAGAACAAGGAGCAAGTTGCAAACTCGTCCTTTGTTGAGAGGGTTAAGAAGCGTGGATTTGAAGTTGTTTACATGACTGAACCAATTGACGAGTATGTGGTTCAGCAGCTTAAGGAATATGATGGTAAGCAGTTGGTGTCTGTAACTAAGGAAGGACTTGAATTGCCTGAGGATGAGGAAGAGAAGAAGAAGCGTGAGGAGGACAAAGCCAAATTCGAGAACTTGTGCAAGGTTATGAAGGACATTCTGGACAAGAAAGTTGAGAAAGTGGTCGTTTCAAACAGATTGGTAGAATCTCCATGCTGCATTGTCACCTCACAATATGGGTGGACTGCTAATATGGAGCGCATCATGAAAGCCCAGGCTTTGAGGGACACTTCAACTATGGGCTACATGGCTGCTAAGAAGCACCTAGAAATCAACCCTGACCATCCTGTGATGGAAACCTTAAGACAGAAGGCAGAAGCTGACAAGCACGACAAAGCCGTGAAGGATTTGGTAATGCTTCTTTTTGAGACTGCCCTGCTCTCCTCGGGCTTTGCTTTGGAAGAACCTCAGGTGCATGCTTCCCGAATCTACCGAATGATAAAGTTGGGCTTGGGTATTGATGAAGATGATGCCCAAGAAGGCGAAGAAAAAGCAGATAGCGATATGCCACCTTTGGAAGGAGATAATGAAGATGCGTCTCGAATGGAGGAAGTAGATTAAAGTTTTCGCTCGATTCTTTTCTTAACTTTGTAAGACTGCCAAATCATTTCATAGTTTGTTTGTTTTCATTGTACATTGTGTACATTTGTAAAGGTCATGATGACTAGTCACAAGATATTTAATGTCATTCCATGTGCAGTATTTCATTGTTCATGTATTTAATTAAGATGCTATTGAGATGTGAAGTTAATGTTTATAATAAAACGTCAAAAATTACTTCTTAGTTTTAATTTTCCCCACTCCTTCAAAGTAGAGAAAATGAAATAAACAAGATTGGGTTGTTTCTGAGTGTTACCTTTTTATATTTTTTGTTTGCACAAATTTGTTTTAGTATTATTTGGTCTTGCTATATTAGTTTTGATACTGCTCTTGTGCTGTTGAAATTGGATGAATAATATATGGAGTGCCTGAGTGATTCATTGATAGAAAGTTTAAATGTAGGACTAAAGAAACTTCATGGCTACTCTGCCTGAGAAGTTAAACTTTAATTGTGCTTTGTATTCATTATTACTATGAATTGTGCCTGGTATTCATTTGTTAAGGAAATTTTAGCTTTTTTACTTTGTTGCTACAAATTATGAGACCTGATCAATTAGAATGAGGGGTAGCGTGAATGTTATCTCAAGCAGTAGTCTTATTTTTCTGAACGTTTTTTTTATTCTGTAATATAGTAAGTTACAAGCAGTACATCAAATTTCACTAAAATTGTGCATTTTTGTGGCCTTGTTAAGTTATTATTATCAAAATGTATCTAGAACCTGAATAATTCTGGGATTGGGTGATTAGACATCACATGAACCAGTGACCTAAAAAAGTTAAAAGTAAAGTAAAAAAAAGTTAACATAACTCCTAGGCCCTTTACGTTGAAATATTGTGTGGTAAGTTTATAAATCGTTTTAAGTGCTTTGAACAAATGAACTGTGAGTGCAATGCAGTGTAATATTTCTGGTAGGTGAGATACGAGCAAGCAAATCCATTTCTGCAATCATGCTTTCAAAATGGCAAGATATGGAATTTTCTTAATTTTAACTTGGCAAAAACATACCAAAATCGTAATGATTAATTGAATTAAGAAGCAAAATACTTCAATTAATATTCTAGGCAATTATTTTAATTCATAACAAATCATTCCTGTTGTAGTTCGGGTGACTGTCAGCCAGCAAAAAGCTATCTTACAAGATTTTATAACTTTTTACTGCTGCACTGATTTTCTTTCTCCCCTGACCTTTTTCATTCCTCATTGATTGTTTTAACTTTTTTGTATTCAATTGGTTTACAATTGCCTTCCAGATTTGCTTTACAACTGCAATAATTTCTTTTCAGATTTCAGCTTGTAGATTATGGAGTGTTTCAATTTAGTTTCCATTTATTATTGTAATGGATTTTGTTGCAACTCCAGATACATTTTTGATTTGGTATCTTCTGTATTTTTTGAATGTTATTAATATTTTTTTCCACTCCTAATTAAAGTTACACCTTTATTAAAAAATCCCCAAAGAATGTGGTCGCAACAAAAACTCCTGGTTGTCTGTGACAAGAAAGTTACTAAAGTTGAAAACAATTATATGTCACGTTATTTCAAATTACAATACAAAAAATATAAAACAACCTACATTAACTTATGCTAGTTACAAAACACTGGTCACAATAAATTTACCAAATGCAACAGTTCATTAGTATTACAAGCATTGACAGCAAGTTTCAAAAGTTATTAAAAAAAGAAGGGAAGCTATCAACGCAAAATAGTTTAGTCAGTTTTTCTTATATTTAACAATTTTATATGGAGTCAGAAAAACGTATCACTTTAAATCTGTTTTGTCTCCTTACATTTCTTGTGGTGTATCCTGTAGCTACAGTTTTCTTATTTTACTTTCATGCTCTGGATGCCCACAAATATGTTCAGAGGTGTAAGTTTGACTATTATCACATCAACTTGCATCCCCTAGCTGAAAATCTGATGAGCGTGAGTTAAATTAGTGTATCATATTCTATACCTCTAGTCTTATGAACTAGTTATCAAATTGTTCGTAATTTGCGGCTAGTGAGATCGTTCTATTCTTTTGAATCCTTTGTTCTAAACGTCTTTCGTATTATTTTTAGAGAATGTTCAAGGGATGTATTTTGTTTGCTGTAAGTTATCTGTAAATATTTCCTGGACAGCTGTATTGTTAGATGTACAGGAATTTATCACCCCAGTGCCATCAACACATGTATCACACTTTCCTTTCTATATACAAAATGGGCCGTTTAAAATTTATGATTGTAGACAGATGCTCAAGGAACAGGAAGCGACCCAGTGAGGTACTTTGGAGCTTAACAAATGTCTCGCCTCTTTGTCCAATAAAATGAATGGCTGAAGATGCATGAAATCTATCAATTTTTTAAATCCAATAGTATCGTCGATAATAATTGCTGATCCACCTCTATTTGCCATGTATACAGGAACACA